TAAGAGACCTGTCTTTACAACAAGCAGCCATAGTAGATGGACCCATCTTCAGTACAGTCACTTCCTTGGAACTTCCAGCTCATCATTTCATTCACATTCTGCAATGGTTTGTATTTAAAAGGCAATGTAGGGAGGAGCAATACATCAGCATTTCTGCCTCGGACTCTGGCAGATCAGATTCCAGGTTTTGCTCATGTCTAAAATACATGGCCGGAAGCAGTGGGGCCAAGCTGTGTGTTAGTATTGTTAAAATAGGTATTAGAATTATAATTATGTAGTCACTGATTAGAATGTATTGAATTCTTGTGAGTTGCTGCATGCATCAAGCTCACTTATAACTTATTAAGTAGTATTTGTACAGTTGTATTGAGTGTCTCTGATTATGTAAATCACCAGATAGCAGAGTGACAAACTAGTATGAAGTGCAGGTTTTCAACAAAAGGTGTTATGTTCCTTTCCAAGAGGAAAGGCCCATTGATATCAGACAGATTATTGTGGAAAATTAAATGACAAAATATGTTGGTCATTCTACCCTTTCTCCTGTCCCAAAGGTGAGTCATGCAATGGATTCCTCCCAGCAGCAGGGTTTGCAGATCAGAGCATATGGGAGGAGGGGGGGGGGGGGGGGTGATCTTAATGCTGGGTAGCAAGGTTTTTAGGCACAAACAAGAAATGTCCATCTGGTTAGCCTGGCATATGCCTAAGGGACATATAGAACTTGGTTAGTACAGGTATCAGAGGGGTAGCCATGTTAGTCTGAATCTGCAAGAACAATGAGAAATCCTGTGGCACCTTATAGACTAACAGATTTATTGGAGCATAAGCTTTCATGGGCAAAGACCCACTTCATCAGATGCATGTAGTAGAAATTCCAGAGGCAGGTACGGACATACAGGCATAAGACAAGAGTTCCAATCAAGAGTAAGGCTAGAGATAACGAGGTCAATTCAGTCAGGGAGGATGAGGCCCACTTCTAGCAGCTGATGTGGAGGTGTGAACATCAGAAGAGGAGAAACTGCTTTTGTAGTTAGCTAGTAATTCAGTCTTTGTTTAATCCTAAAATATCAAATTTGCAGATGACTTGTAGTTCTGCAGTTTCTCTTTGAAATCTGTTCTTGAAGTTTTTTGTTGCAGGATGGCTACTTTTAAATATGCTACTTCCTGAGGAAGTGAGGAAATAGATCAACAGAGCCCGACGTATACCCAGAAGTCTCCTGCTACAAGATAAGCCCAACAAAGAAAATAACAGAACACCACTGGCCATCACCTACAGTCCCCAGCTAAAACCTCTCCAATGCAATGAGGAGAGTTTGCAATGAGGGTTGTAGGTTGCTGATCTATAACCCATCCTGGACAATGATCTTCCACTCTCACAGACCTTGGAGGTAAACCAGTCCTTGCCCACAGACAACCCGCCAACCTGAAGCAAATTCTCACCAGCAACTATACACCACACCACACCAACTCCCTCTCTGGAACCAATCCCTGCAATAAACCTCAGTGCCAACTCTGCCCACATCTACACCAATGACACCATCACAGGACCTAAACACATCAGCCATACCACTACCAGCTCATTCACCTGCACATCTACCAATGTAATATATGCAATCATGTGTCAGCAATGGCCCTCTGCCATATAGATCAGCCAAACTGGACAGTCCCTATGTAAATAATAAATGGACACAAATCAGATATCAGGAATGGCAATACACAAAAACCTATAGGAGAACACTTCCATCTCCCTGGACACACAGTATCAGACTGAAAAGTAACCATCCTGCAACAAAAAAAGTCAAGAACAGATTTCAAAGAGAAATTGCAGAGCTAAAATTCATCTGCAAATTTGATACTATCAGTTTAGGATTAAACAGACTGTGAATGGCTAGTTAACTACAAAAGCAGTTTCTCCTCTTCTGATGTTCACACCTCCACATCAGCTGCTAGAAGTGGGCCTCATCCTGCCTGACTGAATTGATCTCGTTATCTCTAGCCTTACTCTTGATTGAAACTCTTGTCTTATGCCTGTATATTTATACGTGCCTCTGAAATTTCCGCTACATGCATCTGACAAAGTGGGTCTTTGCCCACGAAAACTTATGCTCCAATAAATCTGTTAGTCTATAAGGTGCCACAGGATTTCTCATTCTTGCTTATTATAGACATTCTATTATACTTTGAAACTTAAGATTTTAATTAATTTGCATGAATGTTTACCTGATTTAGCACTGTAAATAAGTCATTTCTTTTTTTCTGTTTAATAAACCTATATTTAATGTATTATAAGATTGACTACAAGCTTGTCTTTGGTGTGAGATCTCAGGTACAATTGACATGGGCGATGTGATTGGTCCAGCTTCACACCCCACAACAGAGAGAGTAATCCTGGCAACAAACCTGTTGCCAACTGTGTCCACACATCTACCTAGGTATACCATCACAGGACCTAACCACATCACCTATAGCATCAAAAGTTCATTCAACTGCCCATATTCTAGAGTGATATATGCTAGCCCTGCCCCTCTTCCATGTACATTGGACAAACCAGACCATTTCTATGCAAAAGAATAAATTAACACAATTTTTTATGTTTGATTTGTAACATGCAAAAACCAGTTAGGGAACACTTTACCGTCTCTGGACACATGATTACTGACTCAAGTTGGTGTTAGGCAAAAAAACTTCAAAACCAGACTGCTGAGCTAGAGTTTACAAGTAAATTTACACAAATCAGAATGGGTCTGAATAGTGTTCTGGAATGGCTCTCTCATTACAATAAGTTATTTCCTCTCCAGATATTCTCACTTTCTCATCACTGTTAGGGTATGTCTACACTACCCCGCTAGTGCGAACTAGCGGGGTAATGTAGGCATACCGCACTTGCAAATGAAGCCTGGGATTTGAATTTCCCGGGCTTCATTTGCATAAGCGGGAGAGCCGCCATTTTTAAAACCCCGCTGGTTCGAACCCCGTGCAGCCGCGCTGCACGGGGTTCGAACCAGCGGGGTTTTAAAAATGGCGGCTCTCCCGCTTATGCAAATGAAGCCCGGGAAATTCAAATCCCGGGCTTCATTTGCAAGTGCGGTATGCCTACATTACCCTCCTAGTTCAAACTAGCGGGGTAATGTAGACATACCCTTAGAGATGAGCAGTATCCACTCTAATTTAATTAGAACTGATGTCACACTCTCATATCTGTATCCCTTCAAGCATCTGAGGAAGAGAGTTGTATCTAACAAAAGCTTATGCCCTAATACATTTGTTAGTCTTTAAAGTGCCATTGGACTCCTTGTTTGCTTCATCTTGCTGTACTTCTTGGTGCCATGTATAATAAAAGTGTGTTTATTCTGGGTGACAATATTGATCAGTGTGCTAAGGAAACTGTCTGTGATTCCAAGTTTAGATTGCTATAGTGCTTGGGGAGTTCACAGTAGCTAGCTAATGGGTGCAATCTAAGTAAAGAACTCATGACTAGTATATAGTATGTACCCTGGTTCTTAACCTTCTAAGAATATCAAAACAGCCTTAGTGAGCCAGACCAATGGTCCATCTAGCCAAATATCCTGTCTTCTGACCACCACTACTGCCAGGTGCTTCAGACACCAGTCTTCTGATAGTTTTCTGTTGCCAGAGGCTTCAGAGGGAATGAACAGGGCAATTTATCAAGTGGCCCATCTCTTGTCAGCCAGTCCCAGAATCTGGCAGTCAGAGGTTTAGGGACACTCAGTGCATGGAGTTACATCTGTGTCCATCTTGGCTTATAGCCATTGTTGAGCCTATCCTCCATTAATTTATTTACTCTTTTTTTGAACCCAAGTTATAATTTTGGCCTTCACCACATCCAATAGAAATGAGTTCCACAGGCTGACTGCACACTATATGGAACAGTTTTTCCTTTAGTTGTTTTTTAAATCTGATGTCCATTAATATCATTGGGTGACCCCTGGTTCTTGTGTTATGTGAAAGGATAAACAACACATCCTTATGCTCTTTCTCCACACCATTCATTTTTATAGACATCTATCATATCCTTTATTATTGCTTTTCTGAACTGAAAAATCGCTCCTCCAATGGAAGCTGTTCCATATCCTTACTTATTTTGCTGCCCTTCTCTATGTATTCCATTCCATCTTTTCTGAGATGGTGCAACCAAAACTGAATGGAGTATTGAAGGTGTGGGCGTACCATAGATTTATAGAGAAGCATTGTGCATTTTTCTGTCTGATTGTTTATCCCGTCCCTAAAGGTTCCTAGCACTGTTCTTTTTTGTTTTGTTTTGACTGCTGCTGCATATTGAGCAGATGTTTTCAGAGTGCTACCCACAATGACTCCAAGATATCTCTTCAGCAGTAACAGCTAATTTAGGCCCCCTCTTTATGTATATATAGGTTTATGTTTTCCAGTGTGCATTGCTTTTCACTTATAAACATGGCTTTTATCAGCCATTTTGTTGCCCGGTCACTGAATTTTGTGCTATTCCTTTGTAACTATTCAGCCAGCTTTGGATGTAATTATCTTGAGGAGCTTTGAATCATCTGCAAATTTTGTCACCTCCCCATTTACCCATTTCTCTTTACTAAAATTGGTATTCACACTCCTGAATCACTACAGGTAGCATTACACCACCCACCACAGGCTTCTTCCTTCAAGTAATGTTCAAAGATTTTAATTTTGGAAATAAAATGTAATATTATCTTCATGAGTAAGAAATTCTAGCAGCTGTGAGAAAAGAGGGCAATGGAAGAAATGTTGTTCTTCGTGCTTTGGGTTGATATGGATATAATGAATTAAATAGCCCATCTTAGGAAAGATTTCAGTACAGGAGTTTGTCAAACAATTCTAGTCATGTGTTTTTAAAGCATTGGATTTGATAATATTGCAGGCTTGATGCAGCATTACATACTAGCATATCCCTGCTCTCTGTGTATGGCCACATGCATGGGGAATTACTCTCTATTAATTAGGCCAAAAATGCCAAAAAACAGAGTAACTGGCTGTTACTGTTTTTTTACTATCATCTATGCATTGATCTCAGCAGAGTTACACAAACATAGAAATGGGATGTTGCAGGGATGAAGAAGGCCCCTCTTATTGAACTGGCTCCTCTCTGCAAAGGATAGTCCAAATACGCTTTTGCTGTCATTGATGTAAATGAGATGAATGAGCCTAGAGAGAGAGCATCAGATTCAGTGTAATACTAAATGTGAACATTAACAATTTCTTTTAGCTCACATCCATCATTTCAGATTAGCGCTGGCTTCTATATTTCCATCCCAGACAGAAACACTTCATTAAGCTGGAGCTCAGATTGTAAATACACTTCAATTAATTTAAAGTGTGATTAGAAGGGCAGAGTTATAAAATAGTTTTAGAAAGCATAGGCAATTTGGAATTACATTTTTGAAAGCACCCTCAACCCCAGACCCCTGAGCTTGTCTGCCCAACTGTCCATCTGTCTCTCTGTCCATCCATCTATCTGTCTGTCTGTTCAAGAACTCCTCCTAGGCTGTGTCCAGACTAAAGGGTTTTTTCGAAAAAAGTAGCCTTTTTTCGAAAAAACTTCACCTGCATCTAGACTACAGCCGCGTTCTTTTGAAATTAAATCGAAAGAACGCGGCTTTTCTTTCGATGGCGGAAAACCTCATTTCACGAGGAAGAACGCCTTTTTTCAAAAGTGCTCTTTCGAAAAAAGGCATTCTTGAATGCAAACAGGGCTTTTTCGAAAGAGAGCGTCCAGACTGCCTGGGTGCTTTCTTTCGAAAAAGCGGCTTGCTTTTTCGAAAGTACTGCTTGCAGTCTAGACGCTCTATTTTGAAAGAGGCTTGCAGTCTAGACGTAGCCCTAAATAGTAGGAGCTAAGGATTCGGCTGTGCCAGGAAAATGGGATGTGCCTGGAATGAGATTGCCTCTCATAAAACCATATAGCAGTGTTTCTCAAAGTGCTCCATGAAACCACTTTAAGAAACATGGTAGCTGGCCACACCAGTGTGTTTACTTTCTGGCACTGTGGCCACAGAGCCTTGTGGCTCCCATTGGCTCTGGTTTACCGTTTGCAACCAAGGGGAGCTCCCCATGGCTACGTCTACACTGGCATGATTTTCCGGAAATGCTTTTAATGGAAAAGTTTTCTGTTAAAAGCATTTTTGGAAAAGCGCACCTAGATTGGCACGGACGCTTTTCCGCAAAACTGTGGCACCTTATAGACTAACTGAAGTGTAGGAGCATAATGAGGAGTCCTGTGGCACCTTATAGACTAACTGAAGTGTAGGAGCATAATGAGGAGTCCTGTGGCACCTTATAGACTAACTGAAGTGTAGGAGCATAATGAGGAGTCCTGTGGCACCTTATAGACTAACTGAAGTGTAGGAGCATAATGAGGAGTCCTGTGGCACCTTATAGAGTGACGATCTTACATGAGATCAGCGAGGAGTCCTGTGGCACCTTATAGACTAACTGAAGTGTAGGAGCATAAGCTTTCATGGGCAAAGACCCACTTCGTCAGATGCAAGTAGTGGAAATTTCCAGAGGCAGCTATAAATATGCAGGCCAGAATCAGGCTGGAAATGACAAGGTGGATCCAATCAAGGAGGATGAGGCCCACTTCTAGTAGCTGATCTGGAGGTGTGAATTCCAAGAGAGGAGAAGCTGCTTTTGTAGTTAGCAAGCCATTCACAGTCTTTGTTTAATCCAGAGTTGATTGTGTCAAACTTGAAGATGAACTGTAGCTCAGCAGTTTCTCTTTGAAGTCTGGTCCTGAAGTTTTTTTGCTGCAGGATGGCTACCTTTAGATCTGCAATTGTGTGTCCAGAAAGATTGAAGTGTTCCCCTCCAGGTTATTTATACCTGCCTCTGGAAATTTCCACTACATGCATCTGACGAAGTGGGTCTTTGCCCATGAAAGCTTATGCTCCTACACTTCAGTTAGTCTATAAGGTGCCACAGGACTCCTCGCCGCTTTTGCAGATTCAGACTAACATGGCTACCCCTCTGATACTTTACATGAGATCATCCGTGTTCTTGCGGAAATTCAAGCGGACAGTGTAGACAGCTGGCAAGTTTTTCCGCAAAAGCAGATGATTTTGCGAAAAAACTTGCCAGTCTAGACACAGCCCAAGACTGTGAACCATATCTATGTCAAAGAAGGTGTTTTGAATAGACATCTTAAACATGCCTTGTAATAAGCTTCGACAAATAGTAACTGACTGACAAATTTTAAGTGGAGGATTCTTTTAAATAGGTCTGTAAATAGCTACAGATTGACCTCCAGTTACCCACATTCTGTACTCACAGTACTTTCAATCTGCTAAACATTTACAAGCAAGCAGGTCTTTTAATTCAAAAGGCGGAAAAGTGTGGCAGGAGGTGTTCATAAGATACAGCTACTTATGTGAGGCTACAACATTATGGTCAGATAGCTCTGAGCATTGTACTCAGAAGGAATTTAATTGGTGTCATTTTCTTCCTTCCTGCAATCTTTATTGTACAAATGAAAGAGGGACAGGTAGCTCATGTTCTCTGCAAGGTTTATGGGACAGGAAGGAGTTTCCCTTTACCCTTTCAATACCCAGGAGGGATAAAGTAGCAGTCCAAAATGATTCTGTGAAAAAGTGTTATGTCCTACCACTCTCCCTATACAAGAGCTATCCAACCATAGATCAGAATGGGTGCTGCCCTATGCCAAAGATAAGAGCAGTAGTGAGATTCCCTGGAGATACAGGAAACTTTGGTCTGCCTAGATTTTTCAGAACTCTGCTGCTGGGCATCAGTGTGCCATTATGTATTATGTATTATTATTATTATTATTATTAATAACAATAATAAAAGCATTACCTGATCCTGAAAGCCCCCACATATGCAGAAATATTACTTGTGAAGCTGATCCAAATTTTCCATGCATAGGAATTGCAGAATGAAACCTCTAGTCTCAACAGCTGGGGCCATCTTCTGTTCTTATTACTACCTTTGTGACATAAGAATTTTAATTTTCAGCACAGCTTGAGAGAGATTGCAACCATTCGTAGATTTCAAGGAGAGGTTTTAGTGTGGTTAAGTGAGCAATCAGTTGTGCAGACTTCTATCAATCATATTATAAATCCAAGTATCCTTATCCCTAACTTTATTCCTAAAGTTTTAAACATTTTGTATAGTTAGCTAGTAGCCATTACATTTCTTTGTTAAAGGTGACTAATGCTGTGAACAAGGGAGATTGAGAGAGTCTATCAAATTAATTACCAGAATATTTTAAAGGCCATGATAACACAATTTATAGCTATCATTCACAGATTACTGGAGATATTAAAATTCTGTATTCTAATCATAATGTCTATATCAAGAACAAATATCAGCACAGGCTAGATCCTGGCCTATGATAAAGGGACAAAAGTAAAGCTGTGTGACATTTTTCATACAGCCCATTAAACAGACAAAAATGTAGGTTTTGCCAATTTTGTGACCATGCAAACTTTGTAACATTTCACCAATTCTTTTATCTGTTTTTTTTTTCATTAAAATTAAGGCAGTTCTTGGTTTTAGTTGGCTTTCTGTGGTAGAGTGGGTATCTGAGAACAAAGAGAGGTTGGCTGGGCTGACCTAGAGAATCCCCACACTCTTGCATGACAGAGAGCCTTGGGTGTGACATGTTTGTGCTCGGACTTCATGAGTGTTTTCTTTACTGACAAACTGCTCGTGTATACGGCAATTAGAGGTGTTCTTAAAAATATAGAACAAAACTGGCTTGAGTTCATGCACACAAATCTGGGAAAATGACATACTTCCTCAGAGTGCACTTTGCCGGTAATATATCTCCACTTACAAACTGTGAGTCTTTGTTGCATACAGAGAAAAATTTTAATAAGAAGTACTTTAATTTGGAAAAAACACAGCAACAGCCACTGAATAGTATGCGAACAGAAAGTAAAATCCACTCCTACATTTTTTCCAATAGTACTTCACTTCAGGTTCCCCAACTGTCAATGTGATCATCCAATAAAAATGTACCTGTTTAACGGAACTCTGTGCCCTCCCCCCGCACTGTACCCTACTCACAGTTTGTTGTCAGAAGTTAGTGAAGTTTCAGAGCCCAGGAGTGTATCCAAGTATGTTCACCATGAGGCTCTGGCTTCTGTGAAAAGCTGTTTTGTTGCCTCTCTGCTATCTCTCTGCTGCCACTGCTTTGCCACACTTTTGTGACCTCTCACTGAGCGGGCACTGCTATTCAGTCAGAGAATGATGGACCTGCCATCATTATCCCCACACTCAGATATTATCCACTGTATCATCTTTCACCATAACACTCCATGCTGGCTCTGAAACGTCATCATCTTGGGCACCTAATAGTCATTTCCGATATAATGCCTACTGGAATTAAGGAAGCAAGAGTCAACTGAATCTTTACAGCACTGTTATTTTCCATCAAAGAGCATACAGGGGAGGGCAAAAGGCCCAAATGGCAAATAGAGTTCTTAAACAGACTGGAACATCTGTACCCTAACTCTTTTTCTCCTACTTGGGTTTCAGCTCATTACTTGGCCCGCTAGGAGAGGGGTTATGACAACTGCTCATTCAGGGCATGGTAAATATATTTATATTGTACTTTAGACACACAATGCAGATAACATTTCCTTGTCTCTATATTGAAAACTTCACTGAATTTTAATCCAAAGATCCGAACAGATTGTAGGAATATTCTTGAAAGCCCTACAGCAAACTTTTTTCTTCCAGGTGTTTTAAAGTCTAGTCACATAAATTAACAATGAAGGCAACATAAGGAGCCCCCTGAGAATTCCCCTTTTGTAAAGGGAATATCTTCATGTCATAAAATCAGTGCAGTAGCTCTATTGAGCCTCCACCCTCCCAACCACACAAACACACAATTCTCAGCCCCTAAACACAGGAGAAAAAGGATGTGAGACAAGGCATTCCCTACATTGTTGTAGTGCTTAGTTAATGGAAAGTTCCTATTGTTGGTCTCTGTGTGGTGAACCTGATAACTGGCCCTGTATCAGGGAGCTTTAAAGCTACCTCTGCACCCACTTTCTTAAACTAAGCAGGGTATCAAAAAGGCCTAAGCACTGATCTTTTTTACCTGTGAAGTACATTGAAAATTCTTTTCAACAGGAAATTTTTGACACTGTTCCAGAGCTGCATGCAGGCTGCCTGTACCTTTGAACATTTCTGTGTCTCCAGGTTTCACTGACGCTGTGGAAAGAAGAAGTACTCTGAGTCTTAACTACAGCTGTGATTTAAAAACAGAAAATTTCCCTTTGAGACAATCTATTATTTTCATCATGGGATAAATACTCCTCATGTGCTGCCCTGCTCCTCATCTCTTTCATCTGCTGCAGACCATTTGTAATATTATTGACCTTCAGGGATGATGCAGAGAAAAGGGTCTGTCATCATGTCAAGTATTGAAAATGGATGATGACTGTGCCCCACTAAGCCCGTGATTGACATGTGGTTCCATGGTTAGACTGTAAATTATGCAAGAGTCCTTAGGAAGCCCATTGCATCTATAATCTCTGAGGGTGGGCCATGAACAACAGGAAAAGGTTCACCATCTTCCTGTGGATTGTAATATACTGCTGACTACCTGTATTTCACATGCTTTTGTGCCTGCTCTAGATTGGTGACATCACTATAATCAAAAACTGTTGCAGCTTAGTCCCTTTCTGTAAAGGATAGTTCGGTCTTCTTTTTAACCATGTAGCTTAGTTTTTCAAAGCTGTCATTTAATATCCTCACTGTGCACTCCATAAGACTCAAAGACAAATAATACTGCTCAAATGTACAAGTAAATGCTTTTGCTTCACGTTCAAAGTGGCAATCAGCTGCTAAAAAATACTCAGCTTGGGTTACATTTCCTTTTGTCAGAATAACAAAGCAACAGGAAATTTTTAGAAGAAAAAATATTGTTGATCACTGCCCAACAATTTAAATACCCTCCTCCCCTTTTTTTTCTTATTGAGCTGTTCCAAAACTGTTCTCTTATATTAAATAATCACATTTACTTGGGAAACCATCTTTCCCTCTTTTAATCTGATTGTGTTGGAGTAACTGCACACAAAAATATGCATGGAAAAAAAACCTTGCAGGGCATAATTTTGCAGTACACATAATGGGGCGGTGTTTTGACTGTATAGTCCTATTGATTGCACTGTATTAAACAGTTAAGAGAATTTACCTATAATAGTGGTGGGCAACTTGTGGCCCAAGGGCTGCATGCGGCCCATCTACATGTGGTCCATGAGATTGTTTACTGTTGCCTACAATTCCCCTCGTTTCCAGCGGCATAATTTTCTTCCTGCTAGTATTATAAAAGTGACATGAATGTGAAGTGAGGTTCACTGAGATATACCTTCACTGAAATGGAGGGCCACTCATGTGGCCCACTCTCTAGCCTAGGTTGCCCAGCCTATGGTTACCCTAGCCTCGGTTGACCTATTGCAATGAGGAGTAATGAAACTTTTAATGATAGTGAATGTTAATATAATGCAAATAGCTTTCAGAATTTACTGCCTTTTCAGAATTTATCAAGCTGTTCCTCATATTGTGTAATCAGTACAGTTACCTAGATTAAAGAATCTGGGACTGGTTCTCCCATCTATTGCATTGTGCTTTACACATGTCCATTGATTTAAAAAGGCAAAATTAGACCAAATACCACATTTTTTCACAGTGAGTCAACCAAAGGCTTGCATCTATTCTCTGAAACATCAATTTTACATGAGAGTAACCCACTGATTTCCTTCAAGTTTTGCTTACTTAAAACCAATAGTTCAGGGTGGAGAATCTTTTAATATTGTGACTAATACTGACATCAATTTTTTGAGAGGGGGAACCCAAGTTCACCCATTATTGTACATATTATATGATAGCACGATAGCAGTTTTCAAGTATCTAAAAGGGTGTTACAAAGAGGAGGGAGAAAAATTGTTCTCCATGGCCTCTGATGATAGGACAAGAAGCAATGGGTTTAAATTGCAACAAGGAAGGTTTAGTTTGGGCATTAGGAAAAGCTTTCTAACTCTCAGGATGGTTAAACACTGGACTAAATTTTCTAGGGAGGTTGTGGAACCTCCCTCACTGGAGATATTTAAGGGTAGGTTGGATAAACATCTATCAGGGATAATCTAGATGATGCTTGGACCTGCCATGAGGGCAGGGGACTGGACTTGATGATCTGTTGAGGTCCCTTTCAGTTCCAGTATTTTATGATTCTATGATTACTAGATGTGTTACAGGTCTACTTGTGAGGTATGGATATCTTCACAGATAAATATATCTAGATAAGTATTTGTGTGGTCCCCCTCTCCTTAATATCATAGAGATATGAATAAATTTTTCATCAAAACAACATCATGAGTGATGTATTGAAATCTGGCAATTTGTCCAAACTCTCACACAAAATCTCTGGAAGAATCTAGAGTCTAGGAATGGACCCTAGATTTCCTGAAATTATCTCAGTTCCTTAACTACAAGTCTGATATATAATTTCATTTTGTCCACCATTCAGAGTCTGTGGGGTCAATTTAGTGCTTCTTCCCCCATATACTGGAAGTTCTTCCTGAATAAAGTGGCTTTACAGAGACAGTGAGGCAACGCAATGGGACAGCAGGCACAGGGATGGTATTTTAGAAGAATGATACTCTGTAGCATTCTCCATTATAACAGACAAGTAAATAAAAACAAATTAAATTTAAAAATCCAGATACTCAGACAATGAGAAATAAGTGCCTCTCCTTCAGTTGTCTGAGTGTATTTTCGGATAAGGGGAAAACAGTTGCAAACAAACACATTTACCCCTGTGTAGATATACCCACAGAGGAGAGAAACCTGTGGCTGGCCCAGGTCAGTAGACTCATGTTCTAAGGCTGAAAAATTGTAGCATATATGGTTACATTTAAGCCCCAGCCTGAGTCCTGTGTCTCTGTGAGGGTGAAGAGTTTCAGAGTTCAGTTTCCACCCAAGCTTGAATATTTACACAGTGATTTTAGCCCTGGATTCTCAGACCTGCAAGTCTTCGTCAACAGACTGTGGCTATGCTGAGAGGCTGTAGACTTATCCTGAGTAAACATAACCTGCCTGTAGGAAATGGAAGTCTGTGCATTTCCAAAGACAGGGATTTATTCACAATTTGTGTTATCACTCACACCTAGGCAAACTTATGCCCAGATTGTGCTTCTTTTTTATTCTAATTGGGGGCAGTGGCTTTTTTAACCTTAGCTGCCTCCCATACTTTCTGTCAACAAATGGTAGTTCCATAATTCAGAAGGGCAAAACAACATAAGTTAATGCAGCCTCAAACTCTATTAGTTTGTTCCAATTATACTTATTGATCTGGCAAAGTGAGCATAAAGTAGATTAAAGCTGGCACTGATGTGGGCAAGAGAATGCAACCTAAAGTAATTTAGGACCAAAATTTCTATTGCTTTACATCTTACGTCATGTCAAAGTGAGTGCAAAAACACTACTGGATCAAGACACATTGCACCTGGTTTCACACTCTGTGTACTGGTGTAAATGATGACAAGAGATGCAGTAAAAGAGTGAACTTGGCCCCAAATTTCAAAATGCCAATAGGCATGTGTCCATTTGCACCTCCGTGTAGAATATCCACATAGTGGCTCACAACATGGCAAAAGATTAATGATGTTGCAAAGCATCTTCTATCACGAGATAACTGGTTCTGGGTATTTGGGGAAACATTTGGACATGCTATACCTTGAGTATAGCAAAGCTTTTGATAGGTCTCCCACGGTATTTTTTCCCACAAGTTAAAGAGGTATGGATTGGATGAATTAACTATAAGGTAGATAGAAAGTTGGATAGATCATTGACATCAATGCATAGTGATCAACAGCTTGATGTCTATGGCTATGTCTACACTACAGAGAAAAGTTGGAAAAAGATATGCAGATTGCGAAGCGCAATTTGCATGTCTTTTTCCACTTTTCTTCTGAAAAAGGCTTTTCTGACATTTGGCCTGTTTACACAGAGCCAAATGTTGGAAAAAAACCCTCCTCTTTTGGAACATCCCTTCTTCATAAGATGAGGTTTACAAGGATGCCAACAAAAGCGTCCACTTTTCTGATTTTTTTTCAGAAAAGCAGACGAGTTCCTTGGATGTGGCAGAGCTTTTCCGAGTACGTCTGGTATCCCAGAAAAGCTCTGTAGCCTAGATGTACCCTGTGTGGCAGCTGGTATCAAGCAGAGTATCTATGGGGTTGGTCCTGGAGCCACTTTTGTTCAATATCTTCATTAATAATCTGGGTGAAGGAATGTTCAGCAAGTACACGGATGACACTAAGCTATGGAGAGAATAGGGATAGGGTCCAAAGTGACCCAGAGAAATTGGAGGATTGGCCCAATAGAAATCTGATGAGCTTTAATAATGAGAAGTACAAACTTAGGATGGAAGAATCCCCATGCACTTCTAAAAGATGGGGACCAATTGGCTAAGCAGCAGTTCTACAGATAAAGACCTGGGGATTAGAGTGGACAAGAAGCTGGTTATGAGTCAACAGCGTGTCCTTGTTGCCAAAAAAGGGTAGTGGAATATTGGATTGCATTAGTAGGATAATTGCCAGCAGATTGAAGGATGATCTATTCAACGTTGGTGCAGCTACATCTGGAGTACAGTGTCAAGTTTTGGGTCAAATTGGAGAGTGTTCAGTGGAAGGCAACAAAATTATTAGGATGGTAGGGTGCATGACTTATGAGGACAGGATGAGGGAACTGGTCTTATGTAGTGTGTAGAAGAAAAGAGTGGGGGAGGGTTTGATAATAGCTTTGACTACCTGAAGAGGATGGAGCTATTCTCAGTGATGGCAAATGATAGAACAAGGAGCAATGATCAAAAGTTGCAGTGGTGGAGGCCTAGTTTGAATATAAGAAAAAAAATCTATTTCGCTAGGAGGGTGGTGAAGCACTGGAATGGATTACCTAGGGAGGTAGTTGAATCTCCATCCTTAGAGGTTTTTAAGACCAGGCTTGACAAAGCCCTGGCTGGAATGTTTCAGACTACATCTACACTTCAGTCTGGATCAATGTTCTGAGATCAATCCACAGGCAATTTAGAAGATCTTGTTAAGACTTGCCAAATCAACTGCAGATCACTCTCCTGTCACCCTTGTTACTCTACCCTTGACAAGAAGGCTGTGTCTAGACTGGCCACTTTTTCTGGACTTTTTCAGTCG